GAAGCAACATCCTCCACAACTAGACTGAAGAACAAAAGGACAGCAACTTGTCTGTTCCCCTTCCCCCAAAACCCCAGCGCTGTTCCTATCCCCCAAATCCCCAATAAAATTTAAAAAAAAAAAAAAAGATTACTGTGGTAATCTGAGATTTAAAAAAGAAATTGAAAACTCATTTTATTAAAATGTTAGCAAGATTGTTTAACTCTGTAATCTGTTAATTTCAAGAACCTATAATGTAGTCTATAGAGGGGGAAAAGGGGCTCATTAAAATCTGATTTCTTCCATGAAGACTTTATGAAATAAAGATCTATTAACTTATTTCAGGAACCTAAAACTATATTCTAGGAAAAAAGGATTACGTCTTATTTCTTCTGTGAAGCCTCCTTGGAATGATTTACAACTTCACTTGATAAATGGACCTTCTAAGACATGTACATTTTTGATGCTTGTTTAAGGGCAAATCTTTGAACCAAACACTTTTCTTTTTAATAAGTCATTTGATTAAAACAATATGAATTCAAAACCTTTGGCCTTTAGTTCCACAAACAAACAAACAAATAAACAAACCACCCCAATCTTTTGAGTTCTGTCCTACTGTCTCCCAGGGTCTTATCAATTAGTGTTATAACTCCTATTCTCTAATATATTGGGGTTGTTGGAAAAGTCATGAGGTATTTTTCTGTTTTTCATTGCAAAAATGCGTCATGACTTTTCCGACAACCCAATAGTTAGCGCAGCAATTCTCAACCAGGGGTAATTTTTCCTTCCCCCTGCCCCCACCCCGAGAGCACATGGCAATGTCTAGAGACATTTTGGGTTGTTAACTGGGGAGAGAAGTGAGAGGGGATACAGGCATCCAAGTGTGTATAGAGGCCAAGGTTGCTGAGGTTAACAAAACTTAATTTTGGGAAAAGACTACATGGAGACTGTTTTGGAGAGAAGATTCAATATAGGCTATGGCAAAAGCTTGATCTTTTCAGAGTTAATAGTTGTTTTGGTTTGCACTATTGGGCATCTGAGTTTCAGATCACTTACTTCAAAACAATCACTCACAATCTTTTTATGATTTTTTTTTNGGAAAAGGGACAAGTGGCCTACTGGCACAAACCTGTGTTTGGTCACCATTTGAAGTGGGGACTGTGACCTCGATGTGGGTTTTTTCCACCTACATTTAAGAAATAAAGTGGTAAAAACATTTCAGGTTAGTAGGTTTCTATGAATAGCACTGTTTCCAAATAAGCTGCATCTTTAAGCTGGTTGAATTAAGCTGCATTAAGCTGATATGAAATCATCATGATGCAGCCTTTGGGGGCGTTACAGGAAAGGACATTACGCCAAACAGCCGTCTGTTAGCTCACCATCACAGTTTCAAGGCTGTCACATGGACAGCCAAATGATCACAAGAGAAAATTAAGGTAATTGTTCTATGGATGAAGATAACATTTTTATGTTTATTTAAAAAGTACTTAATAAAAATAATAATGAGGCTTAAATAAGCCCTATGTTTTTGTTTTGCTTTTTCATGATCTAGAAGTACCTTAAATAACACTTAAAAACAAATTTACAAATAAAGACATCGATGTATGACATACATGATCGTTAAAAACAGTAAAAGCACACATATAATAAATCACATATAACACCAAGCAGATAAATACAAAACACTTTGTTAGTTGATCGATATATTTAAAGAGGCGGTTTCACCCTTGAGTTTATTAGACAACAAAACACCCAAATCAACTCAATCCAAATTGTTACTGAGGCATGCAATTATTTCCAAGGCTGATTTATAAATAAGCACACTCGGGGCTCAGCTGCAACATTCAACACGCTGTAATCTTCTCTGGAGGGAGGTGGAGCCCATGTGTTTGGTGGAGGGGTAAGAGTCATCCTTAATACTAGGAAGAGAATAACTAAGACCGCCTGCTTAGCTCTGCAATGCCTTTAGTAATGTCATTTTCTATACCCCAAATGGAGTAAGTATAAATACATTTAAAAAAAAAACACCTAGACAGGCTATTAAGAGGAAGCATAATAAAGTGAGCAATGCCTAAAGCACTGGGTATTTCAAAATTAGAAAACTGTTTTTAAGGGTCAACTCAATCACTGTGTATCATTAAGTTATTTCCAGAACTTCATCAATCCATGGATTGACATATTCCTTTTAGTCACACTTGGCAGCATTACCTCAGAGTACAATGTCCTTGTGCTATTTTCTCTAGGACTGAAGTGAAGAACGTAAGATAACACCAAACCTTGTGACACATCCAGCAATAGCGCTTTTAACTACAGGGGTAATTAATTAACGATTTGGGTCATTTCTACTCTGAAAACCTAGTATACTTGCTATGCAGTCATTAGCAAGTTATTTCACCTCTCTGACTTTAAGTTGATAAAAAACTGTTTTGCTAAAATAGAGATAGTATCTTCATAGAGTTGTGAATGCTTAGCAAATGGTAGTTTTTAATTCTTTCATAAATAAAGCTTAAATGACTTGTGTAAATGAACAGTGACTTTTTGCTCTGGGTCCTTAGCAATCCAACAGTGAGAACTTGAAAGCCTTTGCGTCAGTCTAAGGATGCAGGCCAAGTAGCAACAGTAGTTCTGTGTATGGCCCCATAGAGAACATTACATGAGATGAAGATGTGCATGGGGGAGAGACATTATCTCCACATTTACAAAATGACTCAAGCTGCCAAAAAGCTGTCTCTATCTGGCACCAAATTAGTGTTAGATAATGAAATTTACAGTTACAAGACTACTTTATTACTACTATTGCTTTATAGAATAGGTATGACTTCAGGTAAATTCCATAATTATTTTCTAACTGCTACAAATAAAATCAACTCAGAGTCACCCTTAATTCTGTTACTACTATTACAGTAATAGAAGGTTATCAGAGGTGGCTTTCAGTCTGATCTCAACACAAGTATCTCAAAACATATATTACACAGAATTAATTGGCAAGAAGACCCCCTCTACTGGCACTTCAATGGGGAGCATATACCAGAAAGTAATCTCTCCACTCAGCTGAGGTCCCAGGAGCAAAGGGAGCCTATTCTTGAAGATACTTGTGTCTGCTTATAGGCGATAGAACAAGTAAGTTTGCAGAAAGCCAAAGGAATCTTAGCCACTCAAAAAGATTCCTTTGCTACCTCCTGTAATCCACACTTCAGTTAGTAGAACAGTCAAAAATGCCAGGTGAGATAGCCTAACATTAAAAACTGAGGTAGTCTAACATTAAAAAGGCACTGTTGACAGTGAACCTGATGGCCAATGTCATGCACATTTGGCCAGGTATAAAAATGCAAACACCCACCATTCCCTCAATTTGTTTTTTCTTTCTGGACTCAAGTTGCTCTCAAAGGACAGTAGAAACTGCATGTCATATTGAGCAATTTCCTTTTTTTTTTTTTTAAATACAATCAAAACAGAGTCAGAAAGACCTCTGCTCTATGGGTAAACTAGATATTAAACTGGCTCCAAAAGAACAAGATCAATCCACCTGCCAAGATGACAGCACTTACTAAGGTCTTACATGGTTTTAAATTTCTTAAAAGACATATAAAAATGTCACTTTTCTTGTAAAGGCTGCATCTATCAACTCCTGTGGTCAACAGTGAGACTTGTATGTACTTTAATAAATCTGAACTAAAACCTCAACTCCATCACTGCTTAAATGTGTTTAAAAAGTGTATCAACACATAAATGATCAGTCCAGGTACTGTACACCTGGGAAATCTGCTAATTAAGTTGGTAATTTTTCAACAAGGTTCAGTGACTGTGGATACAATCAACTCAAAACTATAAGCAACACAGGACTACAGTCTCTCCTACAAAACGGATCTTCCCCTTTTTGTAAAACTGCTTAAGGTTTGAGCAACCACACAGATGTGCTTTATGTAATACCCGGATACTCTCGGGATATGTTACACATCTACCATCTTAGGAAATCAAATTCTATTTTAATCATACTAGCATAGCTTACTCTTAAAAAGAAATGTGGAGATTCCTTCTGGATGAGTAAAACCCATTTTTGAAAGCAGACGATCACAGTGCCGCTGTGTTTTACAGACTCATTTTTTTTTATATATATTATATAAGTTGAGTAAAGGTGTGGGTCATGTGAAAACTTCTGGGATAGCTGACGGTCTTCACGACAGATATCTTCTTTCAGAAAGCGTGAGGAAGAAATAACTTTGTTAGGATTCTACAAGAATCAATGCTTTGCAAACCTTCCTGGTCACGGAGTTAACATTTCTAAATCAGAGAAGTGCATTAGCGAGATTCTGGAGCTTATGACATACCTTCCACACTTCCGAGGGCTCTGGTTCAGCTTGCTCAGGTGGTGCTTCTTCCATTTTGTCTTCAGCCTTCACTGTTTCCTTCTGTGTTTTAGAAACCACTGTTTTTTTGGAGGGTGCCCCTGGGGCGCTGCCTTCTGTGACCTGACTCTGAGCAATGGCTGGTGCTGAGGTGGGCCGAGGACTTTGGTCTGTTGAATCAACAGCCGCTGTTATGTGAGGAAAGGAAGAGAGAAGGATGAGTGAAGGCAAGTGTCACTGTACCACTTCAAAGTCACCAGGTGAAATAATTGTGAATCCAGGACACACATGATGCTACAGTGTCCTCTGGGCTATCACACAGAAGGTAAAAAAATAAAGCACTAGTAGTGCTCTGCCAGGTAATTGATGCAATAAGAAAGCTAAAAGCACCCTTAAAAGAAAAGCTAAAATGTGCTGGTGATTGTGTTCCATAGAGGGATGGGGGTGGCAGTGCTGACATCAAAATAAGAAATTGAAAACTCGGGCGGCC